TCATTTTTCATCTCTGTTATTCTCCCATTTCTCTGCTCCTCTCCTGAAGGAGGAGACTGACACATGCTGGATGTGACACATGCAATTTCACAGGTTTTGGCTAACTTTTGGATTCTCACAACTCTTGAGACTCGACCCTGTGTGGTTTCAGGCGATTTGAAGTTACAAACAAGCCCAATCCTGCCCTCACAGATGTCCAATTGCAGGCACTGCAAACCTGCCCTTTCATCTCCTCCCATACCACTGTCCAAGGCCCCAAACAGATTTCAAGTAGACAGTGATTTACGTGTACTACCACCAATGTAGTTTACTGCATTCGCTGCTCACGATGTGGTCTCCTCTACATTGGGGAGACGAAACGTAGATTGGGTGACCAATTTACCGAACATCTCCATTCTGTCTGCAAATACAACCCTGAGCTTCTGGTTTCTTGCCATTTCAAACTCCCACTCACACTCTGACCTCTCCATCCATGGTCTTCTATGCTGTTCCAATGAGCCACAGCACAAGCTTGAGAAATAGCACCTCATTTATCTGTTAGGGACCTTACAGCCCTCTGGCCTCAATATTGATTTCAACAATTTCAGATCAAAGGAGCTCACCCTCCCCCTCTTCTGTGAACATTACCATATCATCTTGGTCCCAAACACACCTTTTCTCTCTCTGGTCTTCCTATCTTGTTGCAATTTTTCCCTCCTTTGTTCTGCAGTATTAACACCTTTATTCCCCTGCTTTGTTGCAATCCCCCCCCTTTGTTTTGCATCATTAACACCTCTTTAACCCATCATCCCCTGTCCTCTACCCCATTTTCTCCTTTGTCTTCCTTGCCCTGTCTCCCCCTTCTCTGTTAGCCCTTAAAAGCCTCTCCCTCCCAACATAATAATAATAATAATTCTTGCATTTGATATAGCGCTTTTCACGTCGGGAGGACGTCCCAAAGCGCTTCCCAGAACACACTGTAAAGTGAATTGACTGTATATTTGTGGGCGAACGCGGCAGCCAATTGCGCACAGCAATGTCCCACAAACAGTCGTAAATTGAAAATGACCAATTTATTATTGTTTTGTTTTTTTGGAGGGATTATTATTAGGCTCTGTGTGGAGTAAGGAAACTTGCCCAAGGTTTCACCCTGCCTGGAATTGAACTCAGGTCTCTCGTTTGCAAAGCGAGTGCTCTAACCACTGAGCTACAGGACTTCACGAACATGCCTCAGTTCTGACAAAGGGTCGTGGATCCGAAATGTTGACTCACTTTCTTTTCTTCATAGATGCTGCCTGACCTGCTGAGTGTTCCCAGCGATTTCTGTTTTTGTTTCAGTTTTCCAGCATCTGCAGTATTTTGCGTTTTGTGAGATAGTAAGTTCCACACCATGCAATATTTATACCCACTGCACCATCACTGGGTATTTTTTTTAAAAAAATTTCCACAATTACCAATACTGGAACTTTGCGGCTTTGTCCCCTAGACAACATGTTCTGTGTCACTGGGTGAACAGCGGACGGGCTCTCTGCATAATACAGCAGCTTTTCACAGAGAAAGAAGCACAGGTTGGAGAATCACCTTGGATAACTCTGAGGTGGCTGAATGAATAATAGTATTGGTAAGAGGTTATTGTCTCCTCCCTGATGACACATGCTGCTGAGAAAGGAGAGGAATTAAATGGTAAGAATGGCAAATGTCAAAGATAGAAATGTTTGCAACAGAAAGGTAACCTTTCCCTTATTTCTCTGATTTCAGGCAGTGTTTCAACGTTGTTCTCCTTCAATCAATCTAGCCATGGACTCGTATAGAACTTTTGCCAATAACCTTTCATAAGAGGAGGGATTATTTGCGGGTACAAGAAATGAAACTTGGATCAATATATCTATGTCCAACGCTGTCCCATATAAATCCTTCCTGCAAAGCAGAAGCTTTCCTTCTTGCTGACATATTACTGACTTCTTCAACAGATACATCTATTCAGCATTAAGACGAGCTGTATCAGTTCTTCATTACTGTATATCCGATATTTTGCAAGCATTGGCTCTTTTTCATTGCGGTGTTTGCAAGAAGAACTGGAATTCCTATCTCTTATGAATACATCCTATTGCTGTATTAATACATCCTATTATTGAAAGATGGCTATACTGACTGCATGTCAATTTTTTCTGGTATTGTGTTTTACATGTGCTTATACAGGAAATTTCCTCTTTAAAAGTGTGGCACTCTCAGGTAATTAATCCCTGTGAAGCTGTATGCCATCTTTTACTGCACTGATTGAAAATGACTTTGTAGCCTCAAAATCCCAAGCATTTTTTTCTGAAAAACCTGCTGAGAGCATTATAATGATAAATAATAATAATAATAATCCTTGCATTTGATATAGCGCTTTTCACGTCGGGAGGACGTCCCAAAGCGCTTCACAGAACACACTGTAAAGTGAATTGACTGTATATTTGTGGGCGAACGCGGCAGCCAATTGCGCACAGCAATGTCCCACAAACAGTCGTAGATTGAAAATGACCAATTTTTATTATTGTTTTTTGTTTTGGAGGGATTATTATTAGGCTCTGTGTGGAGTAAGGAAACTTGCCCAAGGTTTCGCCCTCTGCCTGGAATTGAACTCAGGTCTCTCACTTGCAAAGCGAGTGCTCTAACCACTGAGCTACAGGACTCCACAAGATAAATTTATCTTTAAAGGACTTTAAAGATAAATAATAATCACCTTTGCATTTGGTATAGTACCAGTAACATCGAGAACACCTTAATGTGCTTCACAAAGTTTCTACAAAAATAAATACGTTATTGTGTATTTGTAAGCGTATTATCTGAAATCATGCACATGAACTAAATCACACAGGTCAGTTTTTCTATAACCAATGATAATGATACCAATATGATGATGAGAATGATGATATTATAATAATACATGCAATTGGCTGCCGCTTTTCGCCAATAAAATATACAGTCAATTCACTTTATAGTATATTCTGTGAAGCGCTTTGGGAAGACATGTTAAGGCGCTATATCAAATACAAAGATTATTATTATTAACATTATTATTTGGTATAGTGCCTTTCACATAAGAGGACATCCCGAAGCACTTCACAGGATATATTGTAAAGTGGTGTGACTTCATTGTGTGGGCAAATGCAACAGCCAATTTGCGTGCAGCAATGTCCTGCAAACAGCTATGAAGTGAATGACCAATTTTATTTGGGGATTGTTAGCCAGGACACTACCTTCTCTTTTCAAATATTGCCATTAATATGTCCACCTGTACGAGTAAACGGAGCCTTGGTTTAATGTCTCATCCAAAGGACGGTACTTCTGGCAATGCAACACTCTCCCAGCACTGCATTGGAGTGTCATCTTAGATTATATGTGTTCCAAGTCCCATCGTGGGACTTGAACCAGGAGTCAGAGGAAGAATGCTACCAACTGAGCCAGACTGATGAACGTTTGATAGAGGGAAAGACAGTGTGTAATTTGGTCACCAACTGATATACCCTCTTACTCTTTCAGCTCTTTTAACAACATTTTCAGTTATAAATGCAAATATTTTAGCTGGAAAACAGGTTGCTTGGGTCCTGGCATGGCATTTGATGGCCTTCTGACTCAAAGGCCATCAACTGTTGCTAACTATACAAATATATGAGGCAGCAGTAAACAAGGCATACAGGATGCTGGGCTATTTTGCCAAAACAGTTGAATTCAGATCTCTAGTTGTACTCAAGCTCTGGTCAGGCCAGACCTAATGTATTACATACAGTTCTGGTCACCACAACATAAGAAAGCTGTCTAGGCTCTAGATGCAGCGCAGGAGAAAGCAATAAGGATGATCCCCAGTGTCAGAGGAATGAGTTATGAGCCACAGGTAGGCAAACAAGGTTCTTCAGTTGTGAAAGGAGAAGTCTCAAAGGGGACCCAAAGAGGTAAATAAGAATTTAAATAGGATTAAAAAAGTAAGTTTATAACAATACTTTTGGATGCACCGAGAGAACAGAACAAGAGGACACAAGCTTAGGGTTGCAAAAAACAATTTCAGGACAGACAGAGTATTTCTTTACCCAGAGTGTACTTAACAACTATAACAATTTATCAGGAAAGGTGGTTGAGGTCAGAACACTGGACTCATTGAAAAAATAGTTTGATGTGGTGATGGGAAGATGGTAGGATGGGTATTGTGGAAGGATGATATCAAGTGGACCAAAGGACCTTCTTCATCCCAACTTCTCTCTTGTAGTCTTACATGCAATAATACATTCCACCACTGACTAAGAATCTCTATCAATGACCACATGAATCGCGGTCTACAGGACATGTGCAAGAAACTACATCACCAAACAGCCTGGCTGAGCAAATTGTCCAGGGATATGACAAAGTAACTTTGTATCTGCAATTTCAGGTATACCACTCTCATGTTTGATTCAACAACTGCAGCAATATGAAAGAAGTTCCCAGTGTGGACAGATTTGCAGTTACATTTACTTTGTTTTTGCACAATCAATCAAATATTTTTTCTGTGTTTTATTATTAAAAGTTAGGCCCAGCAGGTACAATTCATTGCCATTGTTTGTTTTTAAAAACAGCAACCATTTTATAAAATGTAAGCTGAAAGGGTGCAAAATGGTAAATGTTAAAAATATACTTGCCCAGTAAAAAGAGGAGCTGCGCTTTATTTCCGTGGTTCATTCATCCATCATAATTATTTCAGGGATGTTGATGAAGATAACCTTCTCTTACTCCCCAGTGAAAATACCAACATTCTTCCACCTGCTCCAGATATAAGCCTCGCTGCACCTAATCTTTTTTTGAAAACATGTCAAAATGGGACCTTGCCATCATTCATTGCAGTGATGTTCTTTTGAATGGGAAATTAATACTATGCTGTGACTTCAGTGGGAAAACTGCCATTAACCTCCACAAAATATGAAGGTATCCATCACTAAGTTCATTCCTTATGACCACTACACATAAGCATTAAAAGCAAACATGCAAATAATCAAAGCAACATCCAATGGAGATCAAAAAGTAGCCACAATAGTCTTTATTTTTTAAAATAAAAGTTAACAGAGCCATTGTTAAGCAGCGGACATCCAACTTAAATATATTTAAACTTTCAGGGCAATGTAACAATGTGACTTTCACTCCTAAACAGTTTCTTCTGCAAGGGCTCTGTAACTGACATGGTTATTCTTTGAGGATAGAAAACTTGAGCTACATTATTAAGCCTTGAGGTGTATTGCCCCCATTCCCCTCCTTTCCTTTCCCCCTAATAGTCTTGCTGTATGACTCCGGTAGGCACAAGACCGATGGAACTAGTCAAGGATGTGACATGGCAAAAAGGCTGCATTCAGCACATTTCTTGCATTCCCCTTGACAGGCACAAACCTATATTTAGGGCTGAACAAAACGTATTCCAACTAGCATTAACCTAGATTTCTGTCTGGCTTTATTTCTTCCTACTATTTTTTATTGGCTTGTCAATAAAATGTTGTACCTGTGCACCATTCTTTGACGTAAACGAGGAAAAGGCCAATACATGTTAAGAGGAATTTTGGAAACATAAAATTACCATCAACATTGAAACTGAAAAAAAACTAAAATACACAATAACCAGAACTCGTGTTGGGCTTGTGTTGGTAAGCTCTGTACAATCACAAGTGGAGAGCAGGAGCATATTTCTGTGATGTACAAGACACAGACTACCTCTCCATGTTTTAAAATTTAAAACAGATAAATCATACCCAGTCCTTTAGCTATTTTTAATTCATCATTAACATTGCAGGTTTGCAGGTTAATTTTTTTGTGTATTTTTAAAGACATAATTTACAAAATGTGTTATGCAGAACTACATTGGTCTATGTTGGCCACAGTGCTTCAGGAATTTAAATGAAATGCCACTGGTTGGGAATGTTTTTGCAAGTTCTCTTTTTGTTATTTTGCCAAATATTGGTGTTCACAAACAACAGGAACAAGAAACGGCTGCTAATAACAGTATACTGCATCCTAATCCCCTACAAATTGAGGTGTAAATGAGACAAACAGATTTTGAGTTTATTTTTTTACAAATATCTGATTGCTGCATCATTAGCTAAGATTCTGTTAAGAGATGTATACATATTTCACTGGTTAGAACTGGACTGATGCCTTCCACCTCTAAGGTTACAACTGCAAGTCTAGGTTTTCGTATCTGGCTACCACGAACTTCTTTGAAGCATCAGGCTGTACAAATTCTAGACTGGAGTGTTATTACAGTCACAATATTTAAAACTCCCTGCTGTTTAAGACTGAGGACTGTTTGTCTGCGGTAATGCTGGGAAGCATTACATTTTGCCAAGTCAAGCAAATGGTATGCGTCTCCATGTCAATGCGTGCAAGCTTGTCACCAATTGATTTGCCAAATTGATAAACAAAATAAAAGAACTACACTGATACATAATTACAAATTTGCATGAGGCTCAAAACACCAACTGGTCACTGTTTGACTTGTTTTATTAAGCCATAATAGTAAGTCTGGGTTAAATGTTTTCTAAATGCCCAATTGAAGACAAATGAAGAATTAAAAATGTTTCACAGTTCATGCACAGAAATAAGATGATCTGAACTAAGAATGGGTTACGTGCATGACATATATTTCACATTGGTAAACTGCAGGAGCAACGACTTATTTTGTTCAGATTAAAATCACTGTACATGAAAGGTAGCCAGGTATTTGGACTTTGAAGTCCAATGTTGCTGTGAAGCTTCATTCATGCTGTAAAGCTCAACAAATATTAGCTTAATTCATTCTCGGACAGCTATTTTCTAGTATTACAACCCCATCGCAGCCCCTAAAAGGCCAAATTACAGCCATGCGCTATTGGTGCTAGACATTCAAAATCTAATAACATTTTACTATAATTCAGGAGTTAATTGGATGCTTTGTTACTATTTTGTAGATAGTGCAGGCTTGTCCATGCAATTACCTGGCGTTTACAGTGCTATTTTTCATGATTCATTTCCTCCCTGTGTTTCTGTGTGCTTTGTCTCAATTTGAAAGCAAATTCCCAAAAGCTGGTTTTGCCGGTCTGTCTACTTGAGGACCGTTGCTTTCATACAGCAACCGTCTTGCTGTTTATCTTAATCGGAAGTCTAAATCGATCGAAAGACCGTGCAGATTACGAATACCCGAAAACATTACAAAACAATGGACTTGCAATTATTATTGACAGTTTTTTTTAAAAAAATCCACAAACCGCTATACTCAGCATTAATTTGCTGCTGCTTTTCATCGCTTGGCCTGTGCAGTGGTTAGCTGTCACGCTGAATTTCACAGTTCTCTCTACTGTGACAATCCTAGAAAAGCCTGCAGGCAGCAGCAACATCAATGTTCATGCAGTCTTAACCATCTCTAAAGTAAAAAAAAAGTGGCAGCAGGAAACAGTCTTTCTGGATCCAGATGTTTCAAACTCGAGTTTCACATCAGTGAATAGATGGACGACCAGTTTTCAATCCAACTTTTAAAATCATCATTTTAAGATAGCAAAGTAGATAAAATCCATATTATTCAACATAATTCACGGAGAGAGAAAACAAGTTGCTGACTTTAATCGTAGCTGTCAGATTGGTGCCTCTCTCACTCTGTAACATACTATGGAAAACAGTCACATTAAGGTTTGGGTACAAGAGTGTGCTTTACTGTGCTATGTTGACTGAGAGTCCTGTTAGGCTTGCGCTGCAGTACAATTCAGGGGAAGGAAGATGCACCTCTTTCATTCATTCTGTGATTCAGGTCCGATTAAAAGTCTTACATCAGTGAAGAGGACAGATTGTATTGTGCTATTTATTGTACACCACAGCGCCTGTGTTGTGTCCCTGTGATGATAAGTTGCTGGAGCCATGTTCAAAACTGGTTCTACAGTATTGTGTTTTTATTGCTTATAGCGTCCCCCCCCCCCTTTTGCTCTCTGTAAATGATATCAAGGGTAGCACAGCTGTCCTGCTATAGTCTTACCCACTATAACACCGGGCAGTCTAACTCCTCACTACGTGCTTAATAATCCGACTGACTATTGTGAGGCTTGGAGAGCTCCAGTGGTTTCTGGAGCCCTCTTTTCGTTTGGCACAATCACACAGCATGTCATGAAAAGAGAATGAGAGAAAACATCACACACATTGCATCACATGGGGGGGTGGGGGGGGGGGGGGGGGCACTTCCCACCGGGAATCAAACCCTTGTCAATTTCGGGTTTCCATGGAGAGAGAGAGAGAGGGAGAGGGAGAGAGAGGGAGCAGCAGGCGAGCAGCAGGCGAGCAGCAGTGATCCTGTTGGACTTCATCATGCATAGCTGTTACAAATAATTATTAATAAAAAAAAATTCCAACTGGAGTCTCAAACAAGTCAACTTTCCCCCCCCCCAGCGTCGCGTTTGATTTACACGTCGGAATTAGAGCTTAGATTTGTCAATCTGGGATCAGTGTTGATCTCGTATCGGTAATGATAGCCTTCCATGTGGTCTCGACACGCATCCCTGAAGTTAAAAAGCCACTTCTTGATGCCCTTTCGGTTCAGGTACAGCACAAACACGAAGATGAGCCCGATCAGGGCTAACACTATCCCCAGGAAAACGTAGGAAGTTTGCAAAACGCTCTCCATGTCGCCCGCGTAGGAGCAGTCCAACTGCGAGGCTTTGATCTGCACCAGAGGTCTGTCCTTCATGCTGTCCGGGGAAGCGCAGAGCAGCGCGTCCTTCTCCTCCACTCTGTCCGCACTCGCCAACCACCGCAGGAACCCCTCGATGCCGCAATCGCAGGCGAACGGGTTTTCTTTGAGGTGAACGCGGAGCCGCGGCTGAGAGCCGAGCTCCACCAGCGTGGAGTTGCTCAGCGTCTTGAGGGCGTTGTGGCTGAGGTTCAGTCTGTCCAGGTCCAGGTGTCTGAAGGCGCGGGGTCTCAGCTCCACCAGAGAGTTGTTGCTCAGGTCCAGGGACTTGAGATTGGGCAGACGGGCGAAGATGCTGCCGGGCAGGTAGACCAGGTCGTTTCGGGACAGGTCCAGCGTGACCAGGTTGGTCAGGGAGCCGTTCTGGAGCAGGTCGGACACCTCCTCCACGCTGGAGGCGTTGTAGAGCGCTCTGCTCAGGTTGAGGTCCCGCAGTTGGCCGGGGTCCGCGCTGAAGGCTGCGGGGGAGAAGCTGCAGATGTGGTTATTGCTGAGATCCAGTTGTTTCAAGTTGGGCAAAGAGGCGAACGCCAGCGGCTCGATGGCCCCCATTTTGTTGCCGCTCAGGTTCAAAGTGGCGAGTTGGTCCAGGCGCCGGAAAGCCCCCGAGGGCAGTCTGGAGATGTTGTTGCCGGTGATGAAGAGGGTTCTGACGTTGGTCGGGATGTCCGCGGGGATCCGGCTCAGCTCCCTGTTCACACACTTGACGGTCCTGGCGGGATCCGAGCACTCGCAAAACTTGGGGCAAACGAGCGTGGACCTGACGCCCACCCACCCCAACACCTGCAGCACCAGCAGCGCCCTCACCGACCCCCGCAGCTCGGGGGCAGCCTTGGCCAAGCCGGAGCCGCAAAAAGTTTGCACCGGTCTGCACCGAGACATCCTAACTCGCGATCAGGTTGCACAACCGGCCGACTCCCAGATCCCCTCCTCCCTCCCTCCCTCTCTCCCTCTCTCCTCCCTCCCTCCCTCTCTCTCTCCCTCCTCTCCCTCCCTCCCGCCGGGAGCTGCCGGGGGAGAGGTGGGGAAACTGTGAGACAAAGGACGATGTCGGGATAACGCGCGCGGATCTGGGGCGAGTCGCGGTGGTCCCGGTTGGAGACCTCCCGTGACTCCAGGTTCAACCAAAGCCTTGAGCCCAGAGCAGAAAATCAAAGCAGAACACCTCCCGCTCCCCCCCCCACCACCCCCACCCACTCAGATTAGCCAAAAGCAACCAATCCCGAAAGCTTTCCTCTCTCTCTCTCTCTTACTTCTCTATCTCTCCCTCCCTCCTTCCCCCTCTCTCCCTCTCTCCTTCTCTCCCTCTCTCCCTCCCTCTCTCCTTCTCTCCCTCCCTCCCTCTCTCTCTCTCCCTCCCTCCCTCCCTCTCTCTCCGGTTGTAATCCTCTTTTGATCGCAAAGCCTTGTCTGCTCAAACGTCCAGCTTTCTCCCTCCCTCTCTCTCTCTCTCTCTCTTTCACACACTCCCTCCCTCCCTCCTTTTTTTTTACTTTGTGGATCTGCTCTTCACACTCCAGCGATCCCAGAGGAAATGAATAAACTCTCTCCCCCCCCACATTCGCCCCCTCCCTCCTCACACACACACACACACACACACACACACACACACCTCCTCCTCTTTCTTTCTTTCTCTCTCTCTCTCTCTCTCCTCTGATGTAAGTTTCACTCTCACTCACTTGTTCCGCGCAGCTCTTCCGGGTGATGTTGGTGGTGAGGATGAGGATGAGATGGACTTGGTGGGATCTCAGGTTACATTGCCCTCCCCCCCACCCCACCCCTGGCTTTTTTTTTCTCTCTCTCTCTCTCTCGTCTCGGGTGGTTGACCGCAGACCCCTCACTCAGCACATTTATTTACCCGAAGCAAATTAGGGGCTGAGCACCAGCAGCCGACGACAGACAGAGCTGGAAGGTGTATTTATTGGAAGCGATCTGCAGACAGCAGACAGCAGCAGCAGCTGTATGGAACTTTTCCCACTCACATCGCTCCCACTCCCCCAACTGCTGCAGGAGCTGAAAACCACTGACTTGTGTGACACAGGGAGGAGAAAGCCCAGGACTGTGTGTGTGGTGATGGGCAGGACCACTAGACTAGGGTAAGGGGTGTTGCACCTACAGTGTCTGTGTCTGGCTGTCTGTCTGTCTGGCTCCCAGGCTGTTAGTGGCTGTGAGAGCCCAGAGCAGCTCTTTTGCAACGCAGTGAAACACCCTTTTTACTCCATTTAGAGGTAAAAACACTTGTGTGTGTGTGTCCCCCCCCCCCCCCACACACACCACCACCCATCACCCACACTCCAGCTCCAAGCTGTGGGTTCAAAACATCTGGCAGCCACTGCCCCTCTTTAAATGATTCAAACCTAAGATATTTACAATCGCACAAAAAAAAACACAAAAAACTGTTTTTTTTGGAAAAAAAAACCTCCCCACAAAAGCCAATAAAAATATGACTTTTTTTTGGAAAAAAAATCTACTCATCAAACTGCAATTGAGGACGTCTGACGAGTTTGGCGAGGAATATTGTCATAAGAGTCGACAAGTGTCTCGTTCACACACACTGATGCAACGACTTGTTCGGTGTAAACAGTTTAATAATTTTGAGAGTGAGAGAGAGAAGAGAGTAGCTCAGGAGCAGAGTTGTTGCATGTAATACATGCTTTGTTGCTTAGTACATCCTTGCAGCATAAATCTCCAAATAGTTATGATCTGAGTGGACTATACAATCCCATTATATTATTTGCAGTGATTATTGACAATTGTATTAGGGTTTGTATTTGTACATAAAAAAGGTTGTCAGAAACATCTGGATGATTTGGGGATGAATTTACAAGGTAGCACTAATCCAGAAACGTTCATATACTGCAAATATTTATACTGTATTCTTTCTCCGAACTCCACAATAAAATCATTCTCATAAATTCACCACTTACTCTGTGAATTTATTTTCCCATAACTATTTTATTGTCCCTAGGATGACTTTGCGTTTTATGTGACAATGTAGTCAAAAAAAAGATACTGAAGGAATATACGTTTTATAATGTGCCACCAGAAAGGATACCTTTGCCTTATCTTACAACAGTTGGAAAATTAATATTAAACCTTTATAAAACAATTAAATACCAATCTTTTTAAAAGAATTTTTGGCTGGTTCATTTCGCATCATTACTATTTTCTTATTAAATTGAATACTAGGAAATGTGAAATCAACAAGCATCCAATTACAATAAGAAATAACTTGTATCTTTATAGCATTCTTCATTTTTAAACATCTCAAAGTGGTTCACAGGAAAATAAAAATGCAAGTTCACGTCAAGTGTAGTAACTGTTATTGTATATTCCATGAAATAATAAAAACTTTAAACAATAGATTCATTTATAATACCAAAAACATTTACAGCACAGAAAGTCGCCATTCAGACCATTGGTGCTTGCACTGGCTCCCTGAAAGTGCAATCCATTTAGTCCCACTCTCCTATCTTTCCTTTCCCCTCATCACCCTCCTTGGCTGCCACCTCCAGCTCAGGTGCCGAGCACTTTGTCGAGCACTTTGAGACGTCCTCCTGACACAAAATGTGCCATATAAATGTAAATTTTATTGTATTTTCCTGATACCCTTTTATAGTTCTTCTTGTTAGCTATTTATCTAATTTCTTCTTAAAACCTCATACAGGGCAGCCCCATTAGAATATACCAATTGAGCAAAGCTTACATTAAATCTGTATACTTCTGCTATACTGGACATGCAATACACACAGCTTCCAGCATGAACTAGCTGGTTTCCCAGGCTAAATAATAGCTGACTAATGGGCTGTTGTTGTCACTTTCTCCATGTTTCGTGCATAAGTGTTCATGAGCAGGAATGCCGCTGATGTTACTTTCCATGTGCTGTGCAACGAATGTTCCTAACAGTACTTTATAAAGGAAGTTGGCCATTTTTTCATGTTTATAATGTGGCGGCAGAGTTATCGGGCCCAGATGATCGAGTTATAACAATGTTATTTTATACAGGTTCCGCCTCAAACACCCTTTCAGTTAGGGCATTCTACATAATCCTTGCATTTGATATAGCGCTTTATCACGACTATATAAAGTTCTTCACAAAATATACTGTAAAGTGAATTGACTGGGTCGTCATCCACGCATTCATCACATCTAGGCTCGACTACGCCAACTCCCTGCTTATCGGCTTTCCCAATTCTTCCCTCCACAAGCTACAGATCATCCAGAACTCTGCAGCTCGTGTCCTCTCCCGCACCAGGATCCATTCTTTGAAACTCCCTCCCTCTATTTCTCTATCCTTCATCATCTCTGTTTGTCTTTAAATCCCATCTCTATTTGACTTTAAATGCCTCTAAAAAAAAATCTTTAACTGCGCCCCATCACTTCACCCTCACCCGGCTCCACTGGCTGCTCATCCCCAGAAGATAGAGTTCAAAATCTTTGTCTTCACCTTCAAGCCCCTCCACGGCCTTGCTCCTCCCTACCTCTGCACCTGTTGACCCCCTTGTCTGCTCTCGCCGCTCACAAGCCGTGGCTTGCTCCACGTCCCCCACTGGCCCACCCCACCAATGGCCGTCAGACCTTCAGCCTTTCTGCACCCATCCTTTGGGTTCCATCCCACATTCCCTCGCTCCCTTCCTTGCCTCCTTCAAGGTATGTCTCAAAACCCCCATCTTCTACTGCGCCTTCGGCCATCCTCCTACCCTCCCTGCCCTCCACCCTCCCTGATCCCGACCTCCAGCTCGGGTCCAATTCCTAACTGTCCAGCACCTTGGGATGTCCTGCTGATGTGAAAGGCACTGTACAAATGTAATTTTGTATTGTATATTTTGTGGGCGAACCCAGCAGCCAATTGTGCACAGCAGTGTCCCACAAAGAGTCGTGGATTTAGTGACCAAATTATTATTATTTTTGAAGGGATTAGTGATCGGAAAAGTGATCTGCCAATCGACTAACAACCGGGTTCCTATTACCGCTAGTTGAACAGAGGCATGTGGAGTAAAGAAACTTGTCCAACGTTTCGCCCTGCCGGGAATCAAATGCAAGTCTCTAGCTTGCGAGGGGAGTGCTCTAACCACATTCTAACACTGTGTAAAAATGTCTCCTAACCTTTCCCTTTGATCTTTTGGAAATCACCTTAAATCTTGATCTCTAATTAATAACTCACTGAGAAGTGAAAATAAATTTTCCGTGCTTTTCTCCTTAATTTCATAATTTGAATCCTTCATAATTTGCTCTATTAGTGTTTCTTTTTAAGCTTCTCTTTGTGCGTATTAACTCTCCAGGTTTTTCTTTCATTCCTTTATACTGTACAAGCTTAAATCTATCCAAATAGACATACCTCCTTGGTTCAAGACATGCAGGATTTCAGTCATTTTCTTAAATGAGCCATACATTCAGATATTTGAATGAAGATCAAATCTTCAGTGAAGTATGACAATCTCCCTTTATGAATTCCTTTAATTTATTTTCAGCTGAAAAGAATTTTAGACTTTACTAGCATGATTGATTCAGGAGTAGCATATTGCAGGGGGCAAGTCCAAGATTATGTTTTTTTTGTTCGCAACACACACCTCATTGCATTTTTTAACAATAGAAAGCTAAGACGTTCTTAAATTCTGACATATTGGGGACAAACTATTCTGACATACTAGTACACATTGATGTCTATCAGGATTCCTTAATAAGGGATTTGACTGGGTACATCATGTGCATCATGTCAATCTTCAGATCTCCACTCTGAAAATAGATTGAGTTGTAGTAGACTCCTGTAAGAGGGAAAAGAGGGAAGGGGAACATAAGTGTGGCCAAATAGATAGGTTTTTAGATGGGATTTAAAGATAGATAATGAGAGAGTGAGATGGAGAAGTAGAGGAAGGGAGTTCCAGATGTTAGGAGCATAGTAACTGCGGACACATGGGTGAATTATTGTTTGGAAAAGCTTTGTCGTATTCACTCCTGCAGACCTATCAAGACTCAGACACAAAGCCTCTAGGTACACAATATGAACTATTACGGAGGCATTTACACTTGTTAAGGGAAGGGCATTGTGCACAAGAGCTTAATTTGTGGTATTTCTTAAAGGGATTCTGTAAAAAGGAATTTCATTAGAATTCCCAATGACCTGTTTGAATTCTGCTGCAGAAGTAGATGGTGTTAGAGGGAAATTCCCACTCTATATGATGTACTTCAGATTCCAGGTGAAATCCCCATTTGCACATTTACACAACTCAGATTCCTTATTAAGAAATATCGCAAATTAGACCCCAAAAACTGCATTGGACCATACAATAAAATAAAATTAATTTTATACTATAACTATAACATTTGCAAACGCAGCTATAACTATATTATAACTACTGTTAATATTATGAAAAATAAAACAAATGATTAAAGACTGTAATGGTGAAGTTATGTTTTTATTAATAGTATTTTCAAATTTCAGAAAAATTCCAGTTTCTGATTCTTGTCTCATGTGCAGCTGCCACGGAAGTTCTACTTGTATCTTTCCTAATACGCAGGCATGCTCACTTGAAGGATTTACATTTAAAGTTGTTAAAACTGGATAAAGATGACAAGTAGATTATTTTGCTTCAGATGTTTTTAGATGACCAGCTGCATTCTCCTTCCTGATGTTCTGAAGTGTATAAAGGAAGTTACGATGAAGATATTTCAAACTGTTCTTGGGGCAGGTGGCAAACTGATTGTGTTTCAAAACAAGGCTTTTGCTTCATGTTTTTGCCTTTCAGAATTTTTCTCCTTTGCTCAGCTGACCCCTACAAACAAATACACCTGAGACTTGCTCCACCCTATCCTAAATTTAGTATGGTTATAAAGAATTGATAGGGTATAACAAAATCCTCGGGGAAGCTACAAATACAGGTATTGAATTTAATGTGGAGCAATGCGGAATAAGACAGAATTTTACATTCCAAACAGAATGTGAACATTTTCTAAATACGATAGGTTGAAATAACAGGTCGGACTGTTCTGTTCACCTGTAATACTCAGTCACTATACATCTTAGAAAATCCTGTGAAGCACTTTGAGACATTTCAATGATGTGATGAATGTGCTATATCAAATGCAAGGATTATTA